AGAGTGGCATCTATCACACATTAAAAGAAAGCTATGAAGCCAGGAGTAGTGGTGCACACTTGTAATCCCAGCACTCAGGAAGCTGAGGCCCGAGGCTTGCCATGAGTTCAAGGCCAGCCTCGGCCACATAGTGAGTTCAAGGCCAGTGTTCCTTGAAGTAGAGTTCAGTCTCAATTTTGTGGAAATTCCTTCTTTATTCTTTAGCAATATCTTTCCTATTGAGTGAACGTACACTTTTCTGGGGATAAGTGGGGAAGAAATCAATCTGCTGAGCCTTGGGAACACTGCCACACAACCAGATGCATTCTGATCGCTTTGTGCTCACCAGTGAAGGAGCCTCAAACAGAACTGCTCCCCCTCAAACTGGCCTTCCCTCCTGCTTGCTGCTGCCACCTGTCATACCACCACCATTCGCATCTCCATACAGGGCGGAAACTGGGGCCTCATAGGATTTGTACTTTCCTGTCCACCCTGCCCTTCAATTCTTTGCCCAATCACTCCATCACACAGTGCTCCCAGCGTCCTCCAACCCCACCACCACTCTGCTCCGCTGCTTGTCATTGTATCCTCAGGTTTCCTAGAGCTTTCTATGTGATCTCCCTGAACTCAGCTCTCCCCTCCACATCACTCTGCATGTGGAGTCTAACAGAGCCCTCCTGTTTCAATCATTTTGCTCTCTTGCTTGAAAACTCTGTCTATATCTGTCCATCAAACCTCTAGAGTTGGTATTCAACGTTGATAATTTAAGATAATAGCTCTCATTGCTTCCTAACGCGGTTCTTTGCAGGCACACTGGCCTCTCTAATGCTGTTCATTCCTCCTGCCTGTGTCGGGACTGGGCTTCCTGTGTTTCCTCTACTTCACAACTGCAGCCACTAAGCACCAGGTAAGGTTTGATCTGACCCATGCAGCTTTCCCTAACCTTCACACTTGCTGATTCAGATTCTGGCGAAGGACAGCACCTGAGGTCTGCATCCACTCCTAGCCCATAACTACAAACCAGCTCCCTCAAGGCTTTTCCCCTTCCTTCTCTCCCATCATTTTCATGTTCTGGAGAAAACATTATTCTTCCCACGGCTCCCAACGTACTTAGCCCTCCGGGGTTGGGCATAAACTGGATGCTATATATAGAAAGCAAGGGACAGAGGCGGGTTCTGAACATAATTCAGGGCCTGAATAATAATCACAACAGCTAACATTCATCCATATGGGTGGTGCTGACATATGCATCACTGGTGTTTCTCTTCTCTCACAACGCTGGGAAATAGTAAACACCGTA